GTCAGAAAAGTTGCTACCAGACTCTCTCTGGAATTTGAAGAAACTCAAGGAAAATTATTATTTTGCCTATCTGCCTATTATTTTGCCTATCTCTTTTCTTTTTTCCCTCTCCATAGATGACTGAAACTTTATGCAATGACAGAATTTCAAAACATTTAAAGCAGAAACTTCAGAATTCATTAAAGAACAGATAGGAAGAAAGGGAGAAAACAATCTGAAAATAATTTTAGGAAAAAGCCAAAAGAATAATTATTTTAAGAATTTGGGAGAGTCTGATTTTAGAATGAGGTAGAGGTGGAATAGATTTCTATTGTTTGATTACTGTAAGATAAAATGGAGAGATCGGCAGTTAAAGTTGCATTGCATTTTATTAATTAGATTTGAGGGCAAAATTGAAGGGTGGGCTTGGAAGGAAAGGGAAATGGTTTGAAATTTGGACAGAATATGTTAGACTAGGATCAGAATATGATAGGCTAGGTATCATAAAACTGCTTAGAATGTGATAGTTCATGGCCAGATAACCACATGGCTAAAGTAGACTTTATATTGACAAGAATGTTCAGATAAGAATAATAAGAAATATGTTTTATGGAATGTAAGTGGATGAAAAAAAGAACGTTACTTTGGATTGATATTGCCTGAGATAGGAATATGAAACTGTGAAAAAACGGATATTTCAGAAATAATATTATATGAGATTTTTTGAAGTTTAGAAGCTGAAGTCTTTACTCCAGAGAGACTTAGATTAACATTTCCAGTTAGCGCCAAAATTTAGCTCATCAAACTAACCTCAACTGACCTCAGATCCTAATTATGAACTTGAAATGGGGTTGGGAGGAACCTGGTCATACAAGAAGGACAAAAGGAGGAGGAGGAGAAGGGGGGAGGCAGCTTAAACTGTTGACTTGTAAATTGATTAACACCTCCCTTTCCCCCTTCCTCAGCCACTTCTATATTGCTTCCATCTTTCCTCTTTCACCTAAGGAACTGCTATTTGCAAATCCAAGAGAACCATCCATTCCTATGACTCAGCTCCTTCCGAAGAAGCAGCCCGAGCTAGTCCAAGAATGCAATAAATCACTTCAAGATGATGAGCCTATTCTGACCAGTTTCACCTCATGGTAGGAATCCCAACTGCAAGATGAGGCTAGAAGTTTTCTGAAAAACACATCCATAATTACAAAACTGTTTGCTTTAAAGCCATTTTGCTAAGCACTAATACTGGTAATTTATCTCTGGGATTAGGGAGGTGCAAGCACCTTTGCACCGTTGGAGAAAGAATGGAAGCTACTGTGAGGAACAGCATTGGGAAACACTGAGGCTCAGAAGGCTGAGAATGAGGTTAAAGAATATTGCAAGGATGAGGGAAAAAAATGGTCAGATTAGAGTCTTTTTCTCAGGTAGTATACATCTTAAGAGTTGGAAAAATCTGAAATCTGTAACTTCTGCTGTATCTCTCTTTTTTGGCTACAGATATCCCAAAGGGTAAGGTTACAAATGAATTTCTCTATCCTAAAAATTATGAAAAAAAATCAATCCTTTATTATAGCACCATTAAGGAATAATAGCAAAGTGACATGCTTGTCAGCATCAAGAGTTTGATTTGCTGATGATGATAAAGACTAGGGCAGCATGCTCTCCAGTGGTAAAGAAAGACATAATGATTTCACTGTGTCTCTCCCTCCTTCCTTTGATAAACCCTTGATGAATCACCAATTCTTTTTCACTAAGTTTATCTTTGTTCTAACACCTAGCCTAAGGTAATAAGCAAAATGGAGGGGAATGGGGAATATCATCCTTAGTTGGCTTCTGGTATCAGCATAGCCATGGAACTATTTGCTGACATCCATTGTATTTCCATGTGAAATCCACTTTGGGATTGCTTTGGGTGCAAAACTAAAGCAGTACGTAGTGGGCATAGCTATTATATCTTAAATTACATTATAAGAAACTCATTTATTCTTTGTGGAAAAGAGATGAAATATAAAATCAAGATATCAGAAAAATTCTCAAAGTGTAGAATTTGGTTGTGTCCAGCTCTCTCTCTGTACTTCTTTTTATTTTATTTTTTTCAAATAGTTAATAAAATTCAAATGCACTACTAATTTTTGTTGGTTCCCTGTAGATTCAGTCTTTCAGTTACAGAATATGGGGTAAACTATGCAGTTCCCAATTCTGTTTGGACAGCAGCATGGTGTGCTGAGAAATTTGTAGTGACTTATGGAATTAAAGCCTCTTATCCTCAAGGAAGTTCTCCTTCAAAGAGAATATATGTAGCTCAGGATTGAATTGTGGAGTCCTTTGTGCTCTCTGAGCTTGGTTTTTTACTGCAGCCTTTTCAATCTGCTATTGCTGCTATTGCTGATGTTATCGAGTTGTTTCATATGCAAGCAAGCAACCAAGCTCAAAGAGCACTAAGGATTCCACAAGTCTTCTTTCCTTTACACTCTCAGTGAACTAATTCATTGTGCCCCCCCCTCCCCCAAAAAGGAAGACATCACTTTCTAAGGCTCCAAATACATCTGTTTTCTCTATTACATTCCCTTGTCTTAATTTGCATGGTTGCTAATGACTTGTTCTTACCTCTTGTATAATCTTTCCAGAAATTAATTAATTTAACCTTTGGCTTGGATTTTCAACTTCCCCTTTTCACAGATTACAGATCCAAACCTTCACTGTTGTAGGTCTAACCACCAATTTATCACTCTCTCCTACAACATGCTTTTGCAAGATCCAAACTGATTTCTTTGGAACGTGCAAAAGAACATCAGGTTTTCTGGGATCTCTGCCCATTTCAGTATTGTAGCCTCAGGTGTCCTATAAATTTAATTGCTGAGAACAGAATCCAGATGGTGAACAGGCTGTAGTCAAAACAAGTCTTTTGGCAAGATACAAGAGCAGGCTAGAAAGAGGATTTCCATCTTCAGATTTTTACTTTAGAACTTGGACCATGTCACTGTCCAGACAGATGCTGCAGAAACAGTTTAATGATAGGGTAGATGTATGGGGGTGGGATTTGGCCTAGAAAGGGTGGCCTTAAAAGTCTTTATACTGTTAACAGTTCTACTGGTCTCTCAATTGTCCATATTTGGAGAATAGACTTTCATTTCATTTTATTTTATTTTATTTTATTTTATTTTATTTTATTTTATTTTATTTTATTTTATTTTATTTTATTTTATTTATTTTATTTTATTTTATTTTATTTTATTTTATTTATTTTATTTTATTTTATTTTATTTTATTTTATTTTATTTTATTTTATTTTATTTTATTTTATTTTATTTTATTTTTAAAAGCAAAATAATTGCTATCACCTTTGGAACCTTTTCCCTGAACTTTACAATACTTGTTCCCATCTGCCAGAAACTTCCAACTGGATGTGTCTACTCTGATCATTCTTAAATGTTTTCTGAGTTCTGTCCTAAATCCTCTGGTCCCTGTAGTTTTGAATATTATAAATCCTTTGTTGGAGGACTGGGATGGGAATAAAGCAGGAACCTGGCTTAGATGAGCCATTCTTCCAGTTCTGCCAATACACTTTACCTTATTTTATTAATTGAGGCAGGCAGATTAGCCTGGAACACTACCGTAACCCTTATAACCTCCTCCATTTTTTCTTTTCTGCTGAATGCTGAAGAGGAGCTAGAAGAGATGGGGTTTATTTCTGGTATGTTCCCAATGCAATTTTTGATTTGGGACATTGAAATGGTGGGCAGGACCCATGATCAATCATATTGATGTTGGTGAAACAAACCTAGGTTTCCTGGGAGAACAGGGAGGTTGGTGGCTACCATAACTGTGATGATTAGTAGGATAGTAGTATAGGGCACTGGCAATTATCTAGTTGTGTTGGATCTCAATAGTGAGAAATGGGTATCTTTATTGAGAGTTGTGTTCTCTGAGGAATAATTTGGTGCAGGCTGCATGCTAAAGGTAGGAAAACAGAGTCAAAGTGATGAAATACATTAATAATTGGGAATTCAGTCTACATCAAGATTCAAGTGGCCACTAGAGTAGAAGAATGGGAAAAGCCACCAGCTGCCTCGGATCTCAAACACGACGTATTTTCATCTCACTTCTCTTGAGAGAATAGTAGAAGCCTTTCCATTGGTACCAATTAATGCCATTGGCATAGGACAGATGTGGTCCACCAAGGTAGAAGCCATTGAGGTTGGAAAAATGGCAGCTCTTGAACCACCAGGCACCTGATGAGAGAGCTGCACAGTTCTGCACATAGAGATCTTGGTCACGGTCAAATGTAGAGAACTTCTGGCCACTGTGATAGGACAGTGAATCACCTGGTGGGAACATAAAGAGAAATAATGGTAAAAATGAGACTTCACAAAGCCGGTAGGAATAAGGAGTAGTTTCCTTGTGTGCCTATTTGAGAGTATATTCATTGGAACCTACATATTCTGATCAGGGATAGCTGATACTGGAATGTTTTAGGGCACATTTCATAACTTGTGTTTCAAGATTGGAGGGAATATGCTGTAAAAATCTTTTAAATGACTTCTGATTTCCCCATAATATATTCTGATCCCATATATCAAGGTACAGGGTAAAACATCTGTCTGAAGGAAAGAAAAAGAGCTGGCTGTAGACATCATTTTAAGACATATGTGGGTTTATGTTAGTATTTGGACACCCTTAGCCCAGAAGAATTTTGGAAATTATAGGCCCAATATATGAGAAGGACAGCAAGCTGTAGATGATTAATCTATATACTAGGCTGGGGAGAAACATCCTAATATTCATGATAATACATAGATCCAAATTGATCCTACTTAAATGCCTGATTACCAAGTTTGAGGCAATACCATGCTTTTCATCTTTTAAAAAAAGACAGTTGCAAATGGGTCACAACTATCACACTGTAAATAGGGTTTCCTATCTTCGTTTTGAGACTCAGTCTTACTCTGTTTCGTACTCAAATGGGACTGGGAATCGGGTCTCTTACCTGCCCCTCCATCAGTAAAGCCAGATACATGGAGCGTGTAGCCATCCTCTTCTGCACTGATTGCATTTGGGGAAAGGGAGAAGTCAGCATATTTAGCAAAGGCAGTATTATTCTCAAAGTCGTCCAGTTCCACACGTAGCTTATACTTCTGCTTCAGAGTGAGAAGGTGGATATTTTGCAGTCCTAGAAAAGGTGGGGAAATAGTTTGTGGGCTCATAGTTCTGATGCCTTGGGAAAACGTGCAAAGCACCTCCATTTATTTTCCTACCCTTTGGGGATGACCCCCATTCTCTTGACAAAAAAGTGCTGGCCAGACAGAAAAGCAAGACAGTTCTTGGCTGTGCTTGCTGGCCTAGACTAATAATAAACAGAGCAATTGCACTTCATGATGTAGTTTTCTGGCCCAGGTTTCAGCTGCTTAGGGGAGAAACCCAAACATTTTACATTCCAAATGTTTCTGGCAAAGGTAGATGTCTGGATCAAGAGATGCATAAAATTCTGAGACTGGGGAGAAGCCAGTGAGGGAAAGGGTGGGAAAAATCAATGGCTTTTGGCAGAGGCTCCTCAGAAAGGAGGAGGAAAAGAATAAGGAAAAAGGAGGAGGAGAAGAAGAGATTTCCTTGCACCCCTTTATATTTACCAAGCCAATATTCACCATCTGCTTTGCCAAAGCCAAACCTGTAGTCATTCCAGCCCCGAAAGAAACTGATTGACCCATTGAAACGTTTCTGGAAAACCTGCAAAGTATAACAGTTTTGAGGAAAGATAATTGTTAAATTAACATCAATTTGTCAACAGTTATCCTGAAGCTGCATTCCTGTCAACACCATAGAAAGGAAATAATCAAGAAGATTATGCATTATGCTAAGCTACATTGCTGAAACGTGGTTAATTGGATAATTCAAAATGATTCATACACTATGCTAAGCCTTATTCTAACAGTCTTGGTTTTAAGTGTGCACACAATTCATTACCCTCATATTTGCATCTTCCTATTTCAAATACATATTTGCTTGTTTGATTTCTGGTCTTTATAACCCGTTTTTCCATGCTGGACACTATCTCACTTCTACATTGGCTAACAAGACAAGGAAAAGTACTGAATTGCTTATATCTATAGAAGGATGGCATTCTTCCATAAACAGGGAGACATCACAAAAAATGTCTGTTCCTGGTTGATCCTAAATATTTCTGAAGTTCAAATTAAGGAGTGAAAAGTTTCACATGAGACACAGATACCTTGGCCTCATGAAAAAGAGTAATGTAGGACCTAGTTTGAAAAGATCCAGAGTCATAGCCCCATTTGACATTAGAGTTCAATGAGTTATTTTGGCCAATCCCTCTCTTCTGGTCCAATTTACCTGAGCGGGGTTTGTGGTGATAAAATGAGGGGAAACACCCTTCCATATTTGTTGCCTTAAACTCCCAGGGAAACAAATGGTTGCAATAGAGTACTACAAGTTTCTTAAAGCTTTATATTGAACAATATCAGCACCACAAATGATACTGAAACTACAACTGGAAAACAGGCCAAGATCAAAGAAATCAAGGTTATGGAATTTCCACCAGACTAGCACTGAACAGCCAGTACTAATCTAACTCAGTCCTAGGATCTCTTGCGCCTCCATAGGATACACTTTCCCATTTTGAATCTATCTTAAAGACTTCATTACCGTCCATTTTCCATCATCAGTGGTCATGTCACAGTACACGGGGACAGGGACATTGGGTCCTGCTGGAAAAATGAGGTACACGCCATCTGTCTCTGAACCTTGATCGTATATATCCTCACAGTCAAGTGGAAATGAATCTTCTCCACAGGATTGAGATTGCTGAGCTATCCCAGTGGAAGGAAAAACATATTACTTTAAATTTAAATAACCCAACAAGTATATGACATTATTTTGGCTTCTGATTAACGATTTTGCTTTAAAGCAGACAGTTAATAGTCCAAGACAATAATTATAAATCTGTTACTATTGTTATTTTACAAATATCATAATTACTTTGTTCAAGATCACCTATTTGGGCAGATGTGATATTCCTGAGAGTAGCTTAAAAATCTAAGAAATAAATAAAATAAAAATACTACATTTTGTTAATCAAAATATAGATTTATTTCTTCAAATTTCACATTAAAATTTATATATATTTCAGTACATATTTGTCCAAATTTAGGCACATTTTTGACATTCACCCAATGTAAATAGATTTTATAAATAATTTTCCTTACTGATTTTTTTGGGAGGAATATTACTTTAATAAATATATGCATTTCAATACAGTCTTTGCTGTCACATACAGTAGATGTATATTCATTTTGGAGATTTGGGGGCAACTGTAAAATTTTGGAAATGTTAACTCCCAGATTTATAAAATTAGATTGTTTTGTCATTCAGAAATGATATAAAAGAATTTCTCTCAATTTGTATATGATCTGCTTGAGATTTGTTCAGAGGAGGTTAAAGATTAATTTTAGATAGCTTTAACCTATAAATGTTCTGAATTGCATGCATCCAGATTTTCCATATTGTTTTTCTGTATCTTTCCAAATAAAGATTATAAAATATGTACCGAGCCTACCTAAATATGCATCCCAAAGCCTTAATGCAATTTTCTCATGCTAATCATACAGTGATCAGGTCACTGAAGACACTGATTGGATGAGTTTGAATGTCACCCATTTCTCCAGGCACATATGCATAAGGGATAACAATTTTCCTTTCCGGATAGATTTCAAATGTATACATATTTCTCTTTAATCTTCATTGAAATGGGTCTTTATAGAATAGGTTGTGGGGATTGTACATATGTGCATTAAGTAGTAACTAAATAGTCACCAAGCATGAAAAGCCCTCAAAATTCATATAAGCAAGAAACTTCTAGCCAAGAGTCCTATTAAGGAATTGTTTTAGTTATTATCTCTGTCAAAAGACACTATTGATTCTGTGCAGGGATAGCAAACAGTGATCTTTATACTGTAGTAACTGCCATCAACTAAGACTTCTAGAAATTCTTCCATACATGGGAAGCTATTTGTTCATTCTTCCAGTACAGTTTAAATAATATATGTGGAGGGGAAAAAATCAGCTAACAGATGGAAAATCATCTGTTATCCCCTTAGTTATCTAGAACTAAGAAGAAATTTCCTGATAGTGAGAACAATTAATTAGTGGAACAACTTATCTCTGGAAGTTGTGGGTGCTCCACACTGAAGGTTTTCAAGAAGAGACTGAACAACCATTTGTCCAGAATGATATAGAGTCTCCTACTTAAGCAGGGGGTTGGACTAGAAGCCCTCAAGGGCCCTTTCACCCCCATTATTCTATGTTCTATGAAATATTCTGCCCATTATAGTAGAATCATTTGACATTGCTTGAGCCTCACAAGAAAAATAACAGAATTTTACTAGCAGGATTATTATTGAGAGAGAAGAAAACAATGGTTGGCAATATCCTGAAAGAGCAGTAGTCAGTAGTAATCCTATAATATTTTGTTACCAAGGGAGGAGTGTGATAAAATGCCACAAAGGCTATATGTTGCCTGTTGTGTTCTTTGTATTCCCCCCCCCTTAATCCCCTATGCATATCCTGATCACCCATTAAGGGTGATTGCCCTTCACCATTGATCGCCCATTAAGGGTGATTGCCCTTCACCATTGATCGCCCATTAAGGGTGATTGCCCTTCTCCATCTGCATACAGTTTCATGCCCGTTGCTGGTTGGCTAACTAGCAACAG